ATGGAAACAGGTGGTTCTTTGGAAAGGTATCTTTCTGAAATACATTTTTAAGTAAGGAAATGTTAACTTCAGAAATGCTACTCACCTTTCCACAGAACTGAGAGCTATAATCCCACATTCAGAAGATAGTCAAAGAACTGGTGTAGATAAAGAAATTTAAAAGATAAACTCCTTTCTGAAGATATAGTGACAAAAACAGAAACTCATGAGACATCACTCGATGGGAGACTGCATTCATCTCATACGGGGGATACTCTTTGCTTAATTAGAGGTGGTAAATCAAAAAATACTTAGAAAAAAGACACCTCCTGCATGATGCTGAGGTGTTGCATAGGCAAGCAGAATGTAACTATTACTCACCTAGCCTGTATATCTCAGAGGGTAAGCAGAACAGTTACTTATATCGTGGTTAGGACAATAAGTCAGGCCATACAGTATTTGAGAAATAGTTACTGGAAAGTAAGCAGGTGCAAGGATGAATCATCCCAGACCTGCATCCTAATGAGAACACATGAACCATCCAGCTGGTAAAACTACCAAGAAAGGTTTGGTTATTTGTATACAGGGTGGCCCATACTACACTTCCAGGTAAATATCCCAGCCCTACTTCCAATCAAGGGGTATGTCCATTTAGTCTCATACCAGTGGAATTAGCCATATTCATCTCCCCAGTGGCTTAAGAGAGGGTTCTCCCTTTACTCCACTAAAATAAAATAAGAGGAATTTACATAAGGGAGAATGCTGAGAGGTGCTTGGATTGAACAGTAATGTTCTTATCATCTGCGTAACATCCCATACTGATAGGCTGTGCAATAGGTTAAATGAGGGCAAGATAACACCTGGTGCTGTTGTATTATTTAATGTTTTACTAAAGTACAGCCTTGAAAGTTTTGTGGAAAATCCCATCTCAACAGTGGACACTGATCAGGAGCAGAAGGGCTTAACACTTTCTATTACCTCCCACTCAATGTAGATTTTGGAAAACAGAAGTATTCCCTGTGAGACAACATCAGTCAGATATTGGGTTCTACTGCCTCCAGTATATATGTGTGTGTGTGTGTGTGTGTGTGTGTGTGTATATATATATTTCCTTTTTTTGTTGGATCTACAAGAAAAAGAAATAATCAAACACCTCTTTAGAGCCCCCTGGAAGATTGGAGAAAGGCAACTGAAGGGAAGCAGAACCCAGAGGTAGATGAGATGATAATATGGTGTAATGAATTTGACACAAGAGTGTCAGAAGTCATCTACATCTCATCTGCAACAACACATCCAGGGCATACTGATGGGCAACTTAAAGAGAAGCTATGAAATGACTAACTTTATGGGAGGTGTCATGAAAAAACAAGAGGAATATATTGGTCAGGAGTTTGACCAACCAATCCAAATGAGCAAACACCCAAAGAAGTAGGGTAGTCATAGTAGTTGATGCCTCCTAGGATGGGGTTAGAAGTTGCCAAGTACCTAAATATTTATAGAGATATGGACCCAATGAGTGTAATCTCCCAAAACTTAATAGAAAACAGGCAGGTGTGGGCCCTAAATGGCAAAGAAGGCTCTTAAGAGCAATACAAATTTCCTGAAAAGTGAATCCATAGATGGATAAAGTGTAAGAGCCAATCTCTCACAGGACCAAATCCAAGAGGTGGTTGCAGAAACAATTGATCACAGAGCCACAAAATGACTGGCCTCTTATGGGGGGGGGGGGACACCAAGAAGGGGCCCAAGAAACAAGAAACTCCCCAAAAGATTTCCATAAAGAAAGTGTTACATGGAGATCCCTGAAATAAAATAGGAGAAGTATAATTCCAGAAAATAAGTTATACAAATAAAGCAAGTTCCATAATCAAAGAAAGTGAACTGGGCAATAGCTGAAGAAGAAAATGGGGACAGTACGAAGAACAGATTAGTGCAACCTTGTCACAATAAAGCTCAAAATAAAGTGTAAAGGAGATAGCAAGCTAAGAAGGTGAATAAGTAAAACATAAGGAAGAGTAGTTTGAGGGTAAAAATTTTAAAGTATATGAAAAAAAAACATTGACAAACTGAATGAAGAGATTTAAGGGAAAGAAGCACCAGAAAAGAGGAAGAAACCTAACAACTGGCCACAGAGAAGGAATCTGAAACTTATGGAGGACATGGCAACTAAGAATCAATACGACGAATAGGCTAAAAGAATCTGCAATAAAGCAATATACAGGTGAGGGAGGAAGATGGGAGAACATCTTCTGAGGGGAGGTGCATGCAATAGCTCACCAGAGAAATAGTAGGAAACAAATGGAGTAAAAGAATGTCACATACCTGATTCTAATCAGGTATAGAAGAACCAGAAGCAGAGGCAGGTTGTGGGAAGAACTGCTTAATGACGACCAAAGACAAGACAGGCTCAGCAGAAAACAGAGAATCAAGAAGTCATGAGCCTTGCATCCACGGTTCGTCAATCACATGATGTACAATGATTTCTTCCCTTAATAAAATTATGAAATTTTAGGACACATGTTCCTAAGTCTATGATATGGTTTATTTGACAAGATTATTCTCCATCGTTCTTATCCCAGTGTTTGTATTTTGATACTTACAAATTTTTATCAGATGAATTTACTGAGACCTAAGTTTCATGGACATACCATATTTATTTTAAAAAAATGATGAATCACTTATGTCCATGAAACTTAGGTCTCAGTA